AAAATGTCTAGTTTTTAATAAGAAAATAAGACATACAAAAAATAGCAAAGTATAACACATAAAAGAAACACAGGAAAGAAAGCAGCCAAATGAAACTGATTCTGAATGGGTCCAGATACTGAATTTGGCAGGCAAAGACTTCAAAGTAGTTACCCTAAGTATGTCGAAATAATGCAATAAAAATATAACAACTGAACATATATAGGCTCTCAAAAGAAAAATGGAAAGTACAAAGAGAACTAAATGGAAATTCTGGAGCTGAAAAGTACAGTAGATGAATGAAAAATTCACATGGGCTAAAGAGCAGATTAGAGATGATAAAATACTGCAAACTTAAGTAAAAATGATCTAATTTGAAGACCAAAGAGAATAAAAGAAGAAAAATGAACTGTCTATGAGACAATTTATCAGCATAAATTGGAGAGGTCCTAGAAGAGGGGTGGAAAAATCTGAATAAGTAAAAAAAAGTCCCAAATTTGGTGAAAAACATTAGCTTATGGTTCAAAAAACTCAACAAACTCCAACAAGCTCTTGAAAAATTTCGACCACCAAGTAATACATTTTATGCTCATCATATTAACAAAAGAAAAAGGAATGACAATGGGGAATGGAGAAAATACATTTTCTTTTCAATGAAGTCAGTTCATTTATTTGAGAAAAATGTTCAGGGCTTTTAATGGTCTCTTCAAGAAATCCTAGTATATCATGGTTTCAAAGATGGCTGGGTTTAAGCTATCATTTTGCTATTCATCTTCTATTTGTCTCATCTGATTTTTGCTTCTCTGTTCTTCCTTTCCTCATATTTTATTTACTGTCTGGGAGGAGGAAAGGGAATGGATAAGTTATATTGTTTTTCCCTAGATTTCCCAATTTTTGTCCTAGATATTGTAATATACAGCCTTAACTCATCACAGTCTACTTAAAATTATTCTTGCCTCACTTCATATAAGATACTTGGAATAATTTACTCCACCCCCTTCCTTTGTGCTGCTACTGTCATATATTTCACATCCAGATATGTTATAACTCCTAGAATTAAATATTATAAATTTTGCATCAAACAGTTGCTTTTTAAAGAAATGGAAAAAGGAAAAAAACAAACAGACATTCTTATGTTTACTCACACATTTACCATTTCCAGTGCTCTTTATTCTTCTTGTAGATCTAAGTTTCCATCTGGTATTACTTCCTTTCAGCCTGAAGAATTTCCTTTTGCATTTCCTATAGTGCAGACTTGCTCACAATGGAGTCTCTCTCAGCTTTCATTTATTCAAAAGATATTTTCATTTTTGAAGGTAATTTTCTCTAGAATATTAGGTTGAGACCTTTGTTTCTTCAGCATTTTAAAGAGGTCTTTCCACTGTCCTTGGTGTTAGTTGCTTTTCATGAGGAGTTGGCTGTCAACTGTACTGTTGTTGTTCCCCTGTAAGTATCTTGTCTTCTGTTTCTCTGCTTGCAAGAGTTTATCTCTGGTTTGACTATTGTATGTCTAAGTGCTGCTTCCTTTGCCTTTATCATTCTTGCAGTTCACTGAGCTTGTCAGATGTATAAGATACGATTTCATCAAATTTGGGAAATTTAAGGCCATTATTTCTTCAAACATATATATTTATTGTCCAATTCTTTCTCTACTGTCTTTCCAGGACACCAACCATGCATATGTTAGACTACCTGATATTGTACTAACGGTCACTGAGGTTTTGTTCATTTTCTCCCAGTCTTTTCTGTGTTCTAGATTGGTTCATTTTTACTGATCTATCTTCAAGTTCAGCAAACCAATCTGTTGTTAAGCCCATCAGATTTTTCATTTCAGGTATTGTGCTGTTCAATTCTAGAATTTCCATTTGATTCCTTTCTAGAGTTTCTTTTTCTTTTTTTGGCTGAGATTCCCCATTTCTTTACTCATGATGATTACTTTACCACTAAGTCCTTGAAATATTTATAATACAGGGACTAAAGTTCATGCCTGCTAATTTCAACATGTAGATCATCTAGGGCCTACTTCTACTGATTGCTTTTTCTCCAGATTATGCATTACAGTTCTGTATTTCTTCTTGAGTTAATGTTCCATTACTTACTGGGCATTATAAACAAAACATTATAGAAACTATGGATTCAGTTACCTTCCCTTGAAGTTATATCATTAGCTAATTATCTTAAGGACTGGTTTTATACTATACCTATAGTATATGTATATGTGTATGTGTGTATGTGTGTGTGTGTGTGTGTGTGTGTGTGTGTATGTGTATATATATATATATAAAACATTGTAGAAACTATGTGATTCCGTTACCGTCCCTTGAAGTTACGTCATTAGCTGATTATCATGAGAATTGGTTTTATACTATACCTATACCTAAACAAAAACTATAGTGATTTGTTTATACTCTATTCTTAATCCTAGAACACAGTCTTTACTCCTTTTTCTCTCACTCCCAGTGTCTAATCCTCTGAGTACTATCTTTAAAATAGATCCAGAATGTGATCCACTTTTATCATTTCTACTGCTACCAACAGACCAAGCCATTCTCTTCTCTCCTCTAGAATATTTTAATAGTCTCTTAATTGTTCTCCTTGCCCCCATCCTTCATTCTCCATATAACACTCCATAGACCTAAGTTATCCTATTAAGACATAAGTTAAACAATGTCATTCCTCTGCTTAAAGCTCTCTGATGTCTTTCCATTTTACTCAAAGTAAAAGCCCACAAGGTCCTGTAATATCTAGCACTTTTATGATCTTTTTGATTTTAGTTCCTATGACGTACCTTCTTCTTCATTTTTTTCCAGCCACAAGAGCTTCTCTTATCTCTTTAACATTCTTGGCATGTTTCTATTTCGAGGCCTTTGTTCTGCGTGCTGCTAGCTATTTCTGTGACACTTTTATCCTAAATATCCACATGGTTCACTACCTGACCACTGTTAGGTTTAGGTCTTGGCTCAAATGTCACGTTCTCAGTGAAGCCTTCCCTGGCTAGACCTTTTAATATTTTACCTCACCTCACTGAACCCATCATTTTCTGTTCCTTGCCCTTGCTTTATTTTTGTTAATCTCATTTATAATAATCCAACATATAATTTTCTTTTTTATTGTTTATTGTCTCTTAGCAAAGATCTATAAGGGCAGGGATTTTGGTATGTTTTACTCACTACTTTTCTTTCCAGAGCCTTGAACAGTGTCTGGTACCTAGTAGGTACTCAATAAAATACTTGTTAAATAAATGCCTGATTGAATCAATGATGTATTTTGTTCTTTAGCTATTAGGAAAAAAAAGCTGCAGAGCCCTCTATGTGAAAATACAGGTAGGTGAAAACCATGTCAACCTCAGTATACTGAGGATTTATGTTTAAAACATCATGGACATTTCTTTTACAATGCATATTGGCTATGTGAGCTAGGGTCAGGCTGGTTATATAAGCCAGGGCATTTAATGTCACATGAAAATTGTGTGTATGTATATGTGTTTAATAGATATCCCCAAAGTAGGCAATATCTAATCGAATTCTATAGAATAGAATTTCAAAGATGAATTAGTATGCCTGGCAGAAATTTTAGAAAGATAAGTGGTTCTTAATGTAATTCAGATGACAGCATATATGGAAGACATGGTGTTCTTCGAAGAATACTTACTAAATGCCTTTATGCCACTAGTAATAATATGGTGCTTACCACTGAGGATCTTCAAGACTAGGGGAAGAGATGGACAAAAGTAATGACCACACAGTACACCAGGTGGCTGAAGATACACAGTAAAGGAATAGCTACATTCAAGTGGCCAGAGGCCGACAATGGCTTCCATAAAGAGCTGACACTTGATCTAAGATTTAAAGGACAACAGATTACACAGGTAAAGAAGAAAAGAAAGGAATTTTTAGGTAGCTATTTTTAGGTACACATGCAATAGCATGAATGTAAAGGAGCATGTAAAAGATGCAAAGGAACTGTGTAAAGTAGTCTGGTGAAACTACATATGGACACTACAAAAGATGAGGCTGAATGAGACAATGAGGCTCGAACATCAATAACTAGTTTGATCTCCACGTATAACTAAGAGAACTTTTACTTGTAGAAGATGACTAAGTTGCAGTATAGCAATATAAAATTGTAGTCATAAGTATACAAGTCCATAAAAATCTCTCAAGGTAATCATGACTGATGGCTGAGTGTCTGATAATATTCATTTGCTACATATTAATTTAACTCTACTGATTAGTTGCTTACTATTGCCTGTTAGCACATACCTAAGTGGGCCACAAAAATTAAACAACTTATTGAAGAAACAGCCTTAAAACAGAGAAAATGCTACTAACTCATTTTCCAGTAAATTGGGAATGGACCATATTATTTGATACTAAATAGCAGAAGTACTTGATTCAGAATACTACTGTATAAGAGGAAGACAGAGTGAAAGATTCAATGATTTAGGTCTATGTTACAGAACATCTGGGAGGTAACCTTTCTCACACCAAAGTCACATAGTAAGTGTAGCAAAAGACTACTTAACTAGCAGTCTGGCTATCTAGAAAACAGCAGGGAAATTGGAAGTAAGCAAAACATTTACTCAAGAACCAAACAGAGAATGCAAAGCCCAGGTATTTTATTCACAGGAGAAAGTCTTGACATTTTCATTCAAAGTCTGTTAATCTTAGGCATAATTTAAATAAACATAGTACCTGCATCCTCACTCATAGTACATTGCCGTAAAAAATAGAGGTGGGTGATGGGATGGGAGTAAGATGTTACATTATGGTTCACAGACATCACAAGAAATTTAAGGTCACAGCTTTACCACAAAGGATAGAGAAAAACTGTATAAAGCAAACACAGGACACAGAAAGCACAGCAGCCCAAGGCATTTAGCTGGGGAGTAAATGCATTTAGCTGGAGTAAACAGCTGCACACACCCTTAAGCAGCCCTGAAAATATCACTAAATCAGAATCCATATAACAATTAATATTATCAACAGTAGCCCCAAGTCATCTAGAAAACATTAACTTACGTTCAATGAACTCTTTTTTAGAAGGCAGGGAAGCATGTAATATATTTTGGAAAAATCCATCAAAATAGTTAAAACAAAAAGCATTGAAGCTTAAAACTGTAGGCTTTGAAACTTCATATCTCATTCCTCCAACGTCATGCCAACATTTTAAATTTCTTAAGGCTTAAAAACAATATAGCTTCTAATGTGTCTGTTTTACACCTCTAGTATCCTAATCATTCTAAGGAATTCTGTCCTCTTAAAATCAGTGTACAGAACAGAGGAACAGAGGTACTTTTGTTTTTTGAGGTAGAGTCTCACTCTGTCACCTAGGCTGGAGTGCAGTGGTGTGATCTTGGCTTACTGCAGCCTCTGCCTCCCGGGTTTAAGCAATTCTCCTGCCTCAGCCTCCTGAGTAGCTGGGACTACAGGCACATGCTGCCATGCTCGGCTAATTTTTGTATTTTTAGTAGAGACAGGGTTTCACCAGGTTGGCCAGGATGGTCTTGACCTCCTGACCTTGTGGATCAGCCCACCTGGGCCTCCCAAAATGCTGGGATTACAGGCATGAGCCTCCACACCCAGCTAGAACAGAGGTTCTTAACTGGAGAGTCACAGATGAATTTTGTGTCTATAAACTCCCTGAAGTCATATGCAAAATTTTGTGTCTATATTTGCATGTTAGTTTTCTAGAGAAAGGGGTCCATAGCTATCTAATTCTTAAAGAAGATTATAAACCAAAAAATACTTCAGAATATTGGTTTAGACTAGAAAATGCTTTAAATGAGGAAAAAAGAACTCATTTAGTCATAGAGAATAATTTACCTTATATTTTATTTAAATGTACTATTAATGTAAACATAATTAGCACCAGTGCTATGCATAAGTGAGAACATTTATACAGTATTCAGTAAGTTATAATTTCTAAAACATTTAAAATATGCTTAGCTTAAAAAATGCTATCTGGAAGGGCATGTATGCAGCCTATTGACTTTTGCTTATTTGAATGTGTAAATGTTATGACAAATTATCTGGGTAATATATCTAAAGGTATAATGCATTTGGTTTCCTGTATCTTTCTAATACATTGGGACACATGTAGTCATTCTGACTAAGCCATTCCTAAGGAAGAATTATGAAATAAAACTTTTTTCTTGTTGCTCTACTATTCAAGAAGCTCCATTCAAGCACTCTACTTAACTGAGTATTTCTCTTTAAAGCACCCTATGGCTGATGTATTATTCCAGAATTTACAGCAGAAGCTCTCTTAACAGATCCTTTCCTAACAGATTTGATGGATTAACAGACTTTCCATTTCCTCTGTAAAACATACTGAAAGTTGCTCATGGGATGCTAAATGCTTGTGGTGCTTAGCTACTCAATTAAGCCTGCACCCTTCTACTTCCACTGATTAGGCTGTTTTGCTTACCAAGTCCTTTGGGATTGTTGCTGACCCTACTTATGCTGGTTTTCTATGTTGTACTTATAATTTACTTTATGTAAAGAGATAAAATAAGTGCCTACTACCAAGAGGTTTATTACTTATTTGAAAATCAGGTAAATGCTTTGAAAAGCCTCTAAAAATGAGATACATACCCCCACAAATGAAACTAATTTATGTGGGGGTAAGACAGCTGTAAAAGACTAGGGTAACTATCCTGAAAATCTAAGAGGACTTTGTACGTGGATTACTTTTCAAGTATCTAAGTTCTAGATTTACTCTGGGGAAATCAACCTGAAAACTGATGCATTACGGGTATATTTACATAAGAAAGACAGGAAATCTTATCTACAGGTCCAGAGTCAAAGAAATAATCTTGGTTCTCCTCCAAAATACTGGTAAACAAATACACAAATATTAAAGATCTGTATGCATCTCTTTGCTTATTTTTAAATGATTCTTGCTTTAACCTTTTGGTTTGGTTAAGTGAATATCTCTGAATCTTGATCACTTTGAACAGAAGGGATTCTATTTTATGTGATCTGTGATATAGATACTAAATTCTTCTTAATATCAGAAACTAATGGCCTTCTATGGATAATTCATATTTTTCTTTTTCTTTCTGAGATGGAGTCTTGCTCTAGTCACCAGGCTAGAGTGCAGTGGCACGATCTCGGCTTACTGCAGCCTCTGCCTCCTGGGTTGAAGTGATTCTCCTGCCTCAGCCTCCAGAGTAGCTGAGACTACAGGCATGTGCCACTACACCTGGCTTTTTTTTTTTTTTTTTTTCGAGATGGAGTTTCACTCCTGTTGACCAGGGTGGAGTGCAATGGCATGATTTTGGCTCACCACAACCTCTGCCTACTGGGTTCAAGCGATTCTCCTGCCTCAGTCTCCCAAGTAGCTGGGATTATAGGCATGCACCACGATGCTTGGCTAATTTTCTATTTTTAGTACAGACAGGTGTTCTCCATGTTTGTCAGGCTGGTTTCAAACTTCCAGCCTCAGGTGATCTGCCTGCCTCAGCCTCCCAAAGTGCTAGAATTACAGGTGTGAGCCACCGTGCCTGAAAATTTTTTTGCATTTTTAGTAGAGACAGGGTTTCACCATGTTGGCCAGTTTGATCTCAAACTCCTGACCTCAAATGATCGGCCTGCCTTGTTTTCCCAAAGTGCTGGGATTACAGGTGTGAGCCACCACACCTGGCCTTCTTTGGAAAATTACCCCAAAGGAATAAATGTAAAAGTAGTTTATTTTAAGCACTGTGTCAGTCTACTGAGGGGTAAGCTTTCCCTCTCTGGAGCTCTCAAACAACACTGTAGGAAGATGGCTTCCTTGACACAAATAGCACACTTGTAAAGGCAACGGAGTCTTCTTAGGAGGCAAATTATTAAAGTCTTCCACCTTGGGGTTAGCCTGGCTAAGACCCTAGGATGAATCTGACAACTGTATATGGATCACAATCTATGGTATAACTGTGGGAATTTTCAGCTGATATTTTCCAGCAAACCATAGAAAAATTCTCATTTATTAGTTATTGAAACTTGCTAATTTTGCCTCTGAGAGTTAAATAAACTTCCATGTTCTAAATGGTTTGGCTGTTGCTCTTCGATAAGTAACAGTACAGATAACTATGGATTTTTAGAATACAAAGCACACTGAAGGAACACTATTTTCAGAAACTCAGGAAATTTAATGTGAGAAAAACATGTGGAGCTACTGTCAAATATGTTTTTCATTCTTAGTATGTATGTATCAGTGTAAGAAACCATAAATTACAGTAATATTATCGAAAGGATTCACTAGAGTCACATTAAGCAACAAAGAAACCTTCACCAAGAACCAGGGAAAACCCCACAATAAAGCATAAACACAACTACCTGGCTGTTTGTGGTAGGTGAGCTCTCTGCTTGTTAAGCAGAACCATCGTTTCTTAAAATTCTTTTTTCCAATTCGAGTTCTTCCCTGAGCTCTTTTATACATCTCACTGTCAAAATAACAGATGTAAACTTTTAGCTATAAAAATTAAAAGTTAATCCAAAACAAAGAAGTATCCTTTAATTTTAAATGACATGAACAGTTGTGTAAAGTTATATTAAAAATGTAAAAATGCTTTTGCCATCCATGACTTTTGCATTTATTTTGGCCATACTAAAGGAATAAAGTCTTTAATTAATTTAATATTTTTCTTTTTTGTTGTTGTTTTAATTTAATATTTTTAACTGTGCTATACAGAATAAAAAAGGGCCAAATGAGTGATCCCTGCCCCCACATTAACTTCTAATAATAAACACTTTACATTAAGACTGAATAGTGCTATTACTTTTTTAAAGTACTCTAAATATCTATCATCTCACTACAATTGCAAAACAACTCTAGGACTGTACACACAGGAAATCATACTTCTCTGCCATCAAGTTTGTAGGATAGTGAGGGTGACTTACCTGACTGATAATTTTGGCAGTTCTAAGACAGAACACAAACCCAGATCTCCTTTGTACTTACTTAATATATATACTGATAAATGACTTTCATTCTAATTTCATTAAATTACCCTTCTTTCAGGTGCACAGGCTCGCTTGTACCACTGGACTCTTTAGTTTCAGTAGATGAAATTTCATCCAAGAACTAAATGGGGAAATGAGCAAATATTACATTGTGTGATAATATACATTACAAAACATTCAGTTTATCTTACGTCATTGATTATAATGGGAAATTCTTCATTATTAAGGAATATACATAACAGTAATTTATAAAACAAAACACATAGTTAATTGCAAAGGAAATCCCTAATTTACGAATGACAAGTACTATAAAAGTTTTAATTAAATTATTTATGTATTTATTTTTGGGACAGAGTCTCATTCTGTTGCCCAGGCTCCATGGAGGTGCAGTGGCACAATCTTGGCTCACTGCAACTTTTCCCTTCCAGGTTCAAGTGATTCTCATGCCTCAGCTTCGCAAGTAGCTGGGATTACAGGTGTGTGTCACCACATCCATCTAATTTTTTGTATTTTTAGTAGAGACAGGATTACACCATGTTGGCCAGGCTAGTCTTGAAATGCTGGCCTCAAGTGATCCACCTGCCTCAGCTTCCCAAAGTGCTGGGATTACAGGTGTGAGCCACTATGCCCAGCCTAAAACTTTGTTCTTAAGTTACTTAAAACCAAGAACATAATTTCTTGTAGAAATAATTCAATCCACAATGCCTTAACTGAAATGCTGAAATATATAAAGCTCTAATACAAAGTTTTTAAATCTTGTCTTTGATTTTAAGTCCTCATTTAGGGGTATAACTTAACCTCAACTAGTGTAAGGCTATATATAGTCTGTACTTATCTTACTGTAAATATTCATGCACTGTGCCATAAGAATTAATGTATTTGATTGTGGTGTGCTACCCTAGGCTCCGCTGGGGAGTGTTACATATAGTATATACTGATTAGCTTTTGAAACTCTGAAAAACTGAATTCTGAAATACTTTTGGTCCCAATGACTTTACATATAAGATTGTGAACTTTTATTATAGGTTAAGGATCAACGAAGTATGGCCCAGAGGGCCAAGTTTGACCTGTAGTCTGTCTTTGGGTAAGGCCCAAAAGAATACAGGTTGAACATCTCTAATCTGAAAATCCCAAATGCTCCAAAACCCAAAACTTCTGAGTGCCAACAGGATATTTAAAGGAAATGCTTGCCAGAGCATTCTGGATTTCAAATTTTGCATTTTCAGATTAGGCATGCTCAACCAGTTAAAAAAAAATGAGAGCGAGAGGAGAGAGGAGGGAGGGGAGGGGAGGGGAGGGGAGGGGAGGGGAGGGGAGGGGAGGGGAGGGGAGGGGAGGGGAAGAGAAGAGAAGAAAAGAGAAGAGAAGAGAAGAGAAGAGAAAAGAGAGAAGAGAGAGAGAGATTGATTCCAAAATTTGAAAAAATCCAAAATCCTAAACAATTCTGGTCTCAAGTATTTTTGATAAAGGATACTCAACCTCTAACTGTTACATTTTTAAAGGGTTGTGAAATCAAAGACAATATGGCAGAGACCTTATGTGATCAGCAAAGCCTAAAATAATTTCTCACTGTCCCTTTACAGAAAAGAGTGTGCCAACTTCTATTACATATAACTAACTTTAGCTCTGAGAGATGGTATTTCACAGTCATGACTGAAGTGTAAACAGATTCTCTGGGTAACCTGGAAATCTAATCACCATTTATAAACTTTCCATGGAGAATGTGGAAATGTGGTGATTCAAGGAAATTTACAGTATCCATCTTTAGCAATGACAAGTCAGCCAGTGAAGGACATTTAGCTTCATAAATATGCTACTTAGGCCAAGGACTTTTCAGTATTTGGCTATCTCTTCATGGGAAAGGGAAATTAGCAGTTCAAGGAACAATTCTTTTCTTTTTTATCTACCATTATCTTGATATTGAGGAACAATTCTTCTTCTTAAATACGAATCCTATTTTGCCCCCTAAATGGTTTAGTTCATTAGTTGGATATTACAAACTCAGAAACTCAGAGACAGTCTGAATTTCTTTGCTTTTTCCTTTATACTTTTGTACACTGTTCTACTTAGGACTTAAACAAAAACAAACCACATTCCTATAAGGATGATATTGAGGTTCTAGTGCTTATTCTGAAGTACAATTTGTAGGCACAGCCATTTTCTCCTAAGACTGGCTGATAATTGCCTGCTAGAGCCCAGAGTTAGAGGTTTTCAAATAGAATGTTTATTTCTAGTTTGCTGGGAGGAAATACTGGTAAGTGAAAGAATAAGAAGAGTTCCTTTTGCATTATATGTGGGTGATGCAGGAACAAGTGTCCAACTGAAGAAATACCCTACTACAACATCAGTAGGTGGTGATTCACCCACCTCGGCCTCCCAAAGTTCTGGAATTACAGGCATGAGCCACCTTGTCCAGCCATTAATTTATTAATTATAATTCTTAAAAATCCATGGGGTAAATACAGAGACATAAAGGGGGGGGGGGGGGGGAAACCCAGTAATAAAGATGGACTATAGGCAGGGTGACTATAGATCCCAGTTTGCTCAGGATTATCCCTAACAGGACCCTTCCTATTATCCCAGAATAATCACTAATAGTATTTTTCACTCTTAGAAAAGTCTGATTTAGACATCACATTATATGGTCACCTTGTTTATAAAACTATCCAGGTTATCCTTTCTAAAATCTGCAGGAAATAGGGTATAATTCAGAGTTCTACTCTGTTTCCTTCTGCATCAATAGTAAATGTCACTAGTCAGAGAGCCAATATAAAATGAGAAATTGGGCTTCACAAGCTTTTGCAATTTATAGCACTGCACGTATCCAGTTGCAACTACTAAATAATAAAGGAAACTAGGATATGAGGGCAAAATGTCCTATGCCAGCTTAGGAATCTAGAACTAAGTCTAAGAGGCATACTATGGAGACAGTCAATTAGAATGTGAGTGGGTGACTCGGCAGATCTGGAACAGACTAAACTCCTGGAACCCTTAAATACTTTCTCCACTGATATTATCAACTCTACACATTCTGATTATATCAGGGGGGAAAAATCAGATGCTACCACAGCCTAGGTCACAAAACATGGAAAAACAACCCCCAAACAAAAGACAGTACATCACAATCTTGCCAATGAAAGTCTGCCTACAGTATCCCACAAGTGTTTCAACAATGTCCTAAAAATAAAAGGGCAGCTTTTTCTTTGCCTATTCTTTTGAAAGACTTTCTGCTCAAAAGCCTTTAATGGTTGCTTAAAAAAAATTCTGGTTAAACAGGCACTATTCTTGATGAAAAATATTCCAATGGATTTTAATTTTTTAAATCATCAGTTTCACTTACTGAGTCTCTGTAAGAATCCTAAGCATAAAAAAAGGCCCAAACATATACCTCAACAAAATACTCTATGACCTCATACTACAGAAATTGAATGAAGTATTTAACATTTGGCTTTGCTAATTTGGATTCATTAAGTTAAGATTGTGACAGTACCTTCTTCAGGCCCAGTTTAGATATAATTCATTTCTTTCTTTCTTTCTTTTTTCTAAATTCTTACCTTCTAGACTATATAGGATAGAGTACTTCAAAGGTAACTTTTCTTTTTAAGTTTTCAGGGTTTTACAATAATGCTATATTTTGTTTAGATGATCCAGGACTAAAGACCCAAGAAATTAAAGATCCTTTCAAAACATTCTCAACTTCTAAGTACAGTGATTTTTGTATGCTGCAGGTGTTGTGTTAGGATGTTATATACTAGAGGCTTTTGTAAATTTATAGTAACTTTCCTCAGGTTACTACCATAAATTTGTATTGTTTATTAAATGTTCAATAATATATGTATTTTTTACTATGGCAATTAAGTGTCTACTATACATCATACACCATACAAAACCTTTACCCCTAGAGACCAGGGGTTCTCAACCAGAGGTAATTCTGTCCCTCAAAGAACATTTGGCAATACCTGGAGGCATGTTTGGCTGTCAAAGCAGGACGTATACTTCTTAGATCTAAGGGATAGAGGCCAGGGATGCTGCTAAATAACCTGTAACGCATGAGCCAGCCCCTCACAATCAACAACTATCTGGCCCCAAAAGCCAATAATGTCACTTTGAGAAATCCAAACTGTAGACTTCTGTAACTTGTGTTTCTAAGGCACTGGCAAAAGTAGCTGTTTTTAAAACTTCTTATACAAGTCTGGTATTTTCAAAGCGGAAAAACACAGCTTTGTATAAGAAGGAAAAAGAAAAAGGAAGTCTTTTTGACAAACAGTTTAAACAGTATTATTTAAACTGGGATTGAGTCATAAGAATAATATATATAAAATGTTATTTCCCCTATGCTATATGAAAGAAATATTAACAATTCCAGAATAAAACAATCATACCTTTTTAACTGCTATAATATATCCTTCTTCTTGAAACATTTTGAAAAATTCACACATGAATGTCTCTTTGAAACTTGACTAAGAAGAAACAAACACAGGGTTTACATGTGTTAAATAGAGAATTAAGAATAGAATGAACTGTATTTTTAAGCTGAGGATTAAGGCCTAAAAGGACTCAATTATATATTTCCAGAGAGATACAGAGCTTGGAGAGGAAGACTTCTTTCAAAGCTGTCATGCGATTATGGCACAGGCAGGCAGATTGTCCTGCACCTCCTCACTAGGCTCTCCGTATCTCAGATTTAGCAGTTTACATGTAACTATCCAGTTTTTCTTTTTTTAAATGTTCTCATTAAACCGATTTTTAAAAAATTTTCTAGAGACAGAGTCCTGCTATGTTGCTGGGACTAGAGTGCAGTGGCTATTCTCAGGTGCCATCATCATGCACTGCAGCCTTGAACTCCTGGCCTCAAGTGATCTTCCTGCTTCAGCTTCTTGGGATTAAAGACACAAGTCACCATGCCCAGCCTCTGAAACTGTCCTCTTTAAAAGGTGACTAAAAGAGCATCTACTTAAAAGACAGCTATTGTGTCTGTATGTGTGTATTTTGTTTTGTTTTGTTTTTAATTTGGAAAAAGGTAAGTCAAGGAGAAAGGATAATAGGATATAATAACATTTAGAAATGTGAAAAAATAAAAGATGTAAAGACTTACCTTGCTTTTGGATAGACTCCCCCAGGTTCCCAAAGTTTGAATAGTTTTTGAGATGAGAGTTAATGTTCTAATTGTCTCTGCATCCTAAAGAATGTAAAAAAAGACCAAAACTACTATTAAGTTTTCAAGAAAATAATTTGTATAAAAAAGTAGAATAAATGGACTACATTGCTGTAAAACAATGACTCAAAAACGTTCAAACCACACACAGTTAAAATCTAGCTAAGGCTGGGTACAACTCACTGGACTAAGGAATTAAGAGACTAAGGAAGCCATATATACTAGACAATTCTTCCCAAAGCAATTAATGAAGATGTGGTGCTTTTAAAAACCATAATTTTTTGTTTCTTTTGTGAGACAGAGTCTCACTCTGTTGCCCAGGCTGGAGGGCAGTGGTGTGATCTCGATTCACTGCAACCTCCACAACCTGGATTCAAGCAATTCTCCTGTCTCAGCCCCCTGAGTAGCTGGGATTATAAGTGCCTGCCACTACGCCTGGCTAATTTTGGTATTTTTAGTAGTGATAGGGTTTCACCATGTTGGCCAGGCTGGTCTCGAACTCCTGACCTCAGATGATCAGCCTGCCTCAGCCTCCCAAAGTGCTGAGATTACAGACATGAGCTACCGCACCTGGCCAAAACCCATAATTTTATCAATATTATATATAAGTTGTTTTGTACAGTATGCACCTTGGATTACCTGACAAATTATATTCACTTCTGGAATGTCAAAGGCATCTACTTTACTACCTTATAACTTAAAATGGCAGTTTTAGGTATTCCAAATTTTCTGTGCTCAGCTCACCTCTAAACATATTCAATACTTTAAATGGCTTCTGCAATTAACTCTTTTCACCATGGACGCAAAGACCTAAATTCGGCTTAGGAAACGTGAAGTCACCTAGTTTGTTTTGGATCTTACCAGAGGGTGACTATTTGGGTCTATTCTCCAAGATGTTTTTCAGGCCTATCTATCTGAAAGTAATATATAGGAGCATATAAAATGGACTAAATGGTATTCCCTCAGGAATCTTTGTTCCTTCATTTTTTAAAAAATTGAGATATAATTTACACAGACAAAATGAACTTTTAAATGCTTAAATACCCTGCTGAATTTTCACCAATCCATACATTTGTGTGAAGTTTCTATCAAAGCACAGACCATTTTTGTTTGTTTTAAGGATTCAAGTAAACAGTATCTTGCATCTAAAGATACACCCAGAAAAATTTAGATCCAGAAAAGCTTTAGTTTAATTTTTGGCTCACATTCCTTAATATTTTAGTATCCCGCCCCTTCCATTGAAAACAGGCAATGAATGTGAAGGGGAAGAGATCACCAGAATATAAGGCAATCTGGAAAAGAAGTGATGTTTGGCATATGATCATTATGATATACTTATAAAATAGATACACACCTAAATTAAGGTTATTCAGAAAATAAAAAGGTCCCTACAATTCTCTGCCTTTGAAGAAAATAACATTCTTAAAGATGTCCTGGCACCTGCACTCATGTTTCTTGCAGCATTATTTAAAATAACAAAGCCATGGAACCAACCTAAGTATCCACCAACATCTGTTACAGGAATATACAAATTCAAGTATGAATACAAGGCAGACTCACAAGTTCAGAAGTAGGAGTTCTGTTTATGTCCAGAATGTTGCTACCACGCTTTCATTGCCTCAGAGTTCTATGCAGCTTTAGTAACAAAGCCACAGAATGGACAGCCCTGTGAACAAAAGGACACTGGCCCACTCTCTGCTGGGGCTACTCACAGACCATTTATTCTTTGGCAAGAAAGGGCGTGGTGCTGCCACTGCAACATGGTTCTATTCAGCTCTCACAAAGTTGAGTGAGCGTCAATGTCATGCAGTCGTTGAGAGGAGAAATGGGTACTCAGAACCTGGTTTAACTCTAAAACTCATGTGTTTTCCCTACATTATTTAATGAGCAACTCCTCTTGGCTGTGAGTTTCCTAAGGGCAAAGAGTATCTTACTCATCACTGCATCTCCAGTACTGAGCATGAAATGATACATTATAGGTACTTGAACATATGTTGGCCTAAGAGGTTGGAAGGGATAGGATTAAGCTCACAGCTGACAAAGACTGACTGAATTTGAATTCCAGTTTAATCCAGCTCAAATTGAGTAAGATCAAATCATAATTTGTCAGTTGTGTGAGCTTGGAAAAGTTACTGTATTGTCATTTCCTTATCTGCAAATGTGGATGATAACAGAATTTACCTCATAGGATTGCTAGGAGAGCAAATAAGTTAAAACAAAGTAGAACAAAGCCTAATACAAAGCACTAAATAAATGTGGGCTATTATTATTATCTATTTTACCAATCAGCAACTAAGAGCAATTAGATATGACTATAAAGTATTTGGAACATAAAAGCTTAAAGAATCAGTCAAAATAAACCATATAAGAAGGAATCATAAGTACAGCAACAATAATAAAGAATTTTAAAAACAAATAAACATGTAAATCTATGCAGTGGAGATTTACATTTTTAATAATTAAATAGGACTCCAGAACAAAGATTATATGCTTAAAAAAATTTTAAATCTCCTATGTTTACAGTATTACCTCAGGTGAATAAAAAGTAAAAATACCAATATATTTAACAAGCTATGTTCCAATAAAAATTCCTACATCTTTCACTATACTGCATTCTTGGTTTCTTTTTCTGTTTTTACTGTAAATGCTTATCCAGTGCACCTGCCATTTAATATTTTTCTAATTATATGCTGTCAGTTTCATTGCCACTATTCTTAGATGTTGTTTCTAAATTAAATGAAATTTCTCTTGTAGATGTCTCTCTCAGAGAAAAGAGGCTCTTCAAATTTCTGTGAAATTTAAAAATATCTGTCAAATTAAACTATTTTAATAAATCAGGAAAGCAGATTTTATTTAAATAAAAAACCTATCAAAATGAAACCTGTAACTAATGAAAAAAATCTTATGGAAATTTACAAACACACACAGTCGCAGATGGGAAAATATAATAAATCCCCTTTGTACTCATCAAAGTTTCAGTAATTAACAACCTTTTATCACTATTGTATAACATCTTTTAACAACAAAAAATAGATTAGTCTCTCTTAAAAGACTGAAATGGCCAAGAAAAATGCTGAGCAAATTTAAGTATCAGTTATAAGAAAATGCAGCCCAGTGAAATTGGCTTATTTTATCTTTTCTTCATTTTAACAAAAATTTAAAAAATGGAATAAAGCTTTCAGAAGAACAAACACTTACTGGATGATGAGGTCGCAAATGAAAAGTATGAGGTGATACTACGGCTACAGCAAAGAAACGAAGAAATACAAAGCTGCTCACTGCAGAATACTGAACATGAGGGTCATCTGCAGGAAAAAAATGGTGAAATGTCATGCACAAAAACACTTAATTAAAAAACAAAGATGATAAAAAATATAGAAAAGACATGTAAACTGGGAGAGCAACATAATTTGTCTATTAAGTACTGAGGTGATGAAATGATCATGATGTTTATGACTAAATTAAAAGAAAAAACACTATGACTAAAAAAATCCAAAAGAAATAAGGAATAACATGAAAAAAGGCAAAGCTGCTAGTTTTTCAGAAATAATTTAATTAGAAAAGTACCTCTTTCCTTATCTGCAAGAAGAGACTGCTGAAATTACAACAAAAATAAAGGTGTATCTAGCACTACCTAGTGGTAACAATGAAGCATCCCTTAAGAGCAGGATACAAGGCTGCTTTCAGTCTTAGGTTCTTGTTTCAATTCCCACCCCCTCCCCACTACTGCCCCCTAAATCTTAATTTCAAAGGTTATGCAACAAAAATAATTAGGCAGAAATATTCACTTTAAAAAAGCTATCAATAGTCCATAAATAAAAATGCAGATGAAATGAAGACTACTTGTGGCTTTGATCATTCACCTACAACTTTTCGTTTTGGCCTGGAGTCAACTTTACCTAACAATCACACAGATGGTGGTGAAGCAGGTGGTGAGGGAAAGAATCTGTGGGTTTGTTTAGAGTTTTAACTCTTCTAAGTCATTCAGTAGGTGACCATCACCAAGTTGTTTAATTTGTCATTCTTTAATTAAATACCTGTTTTCTACGTGCTGTGTGCCCTGCCCTCCCACCCCCTCCTTTCCCCAGTCTTCAAGGGTAGTATGAACAACAAAAACAAGAGAATATGAAACACTTATGGTGACAAAACTGTCACTACTATAGTGTAGTGAGGATATGAAGACCATGTTAAGTTCACGAAAACATAACTAAGGAGATACATCTGCATGTATCTAATAACATAAAGTGTTTAAGATCATTTATACAAACAAGAATTAAACAGCTAAAGCAGATTTAAGGCCAAGATCACCAGTTAGTATAGAGTACAGTGAATGGCAGCATGTGCTTTGGAGTAGACCAGGCCCAGGTTTGAGGCCCTGCTTGCCTGTGGCCATGTCATAGACCCTGGTAAAGTTACTCAGCTTCTCTAAACCTTAGTTTCACACCTAATGGAAGTAGTACCTATCTCATGTGGTTTTGTGAAAATGAGAATAGGAGATAATGCAGTCTAATACTGTGTGTGTTACTTAGTAGTCAATATGGTTATTATGACCTATTCAAAAATATAATTTCAATGAGCATTTCACCTTTCTGTGTGTCTCTGGTTCCCCTATTTTTGTTATGAAGATTAGATTTAGTCTTCTTATTTGCAACTATAATTAGCAAAGAAATTTAGATCTGAATTTATCTAGATGTTAGTCAGATAACTCAGCTCCACTAATTTGGTAATGGGTGAATTTAGCGAAAGGGCAGTTAACTGTACATATGTGTGCACAGGGTGAGCATGAGCTTAAAAGAACATGATAAAGCTACAAGATCTCTTCAGATGGTTACAGAAATAAACTCACAGTTTTGCACAGCTCGTTAAGACTAATAATTTAAGTATCTGCCTAATCTTACCCTCCTACCCACTACCTCCCCCATTATAGATAGATCTGGAAAGCTCGCTATAGCAAGTTTATTTACTTTTCTGAGATACATTAAAATATGAATAATTCTAAGTATTAACAGGGCAGTAACTCTTAATTTTATGAAATGTTTCTAAGCAAAACCTTGACATAGCTACTTTTTCAAAATTAAAAATGCCAGTTACTGATACATGTACCTCAAAATGCTACATATGTGGCAACAGAAAGGTTTCTAATATCTAAGACAATTTTTGTAAAAATCTCTCACCACCAAAACCTTATTAGCATTCTCAAACTGTCAAATCTAGTTAATTTTAAGGAACAAAATAGTCTCACTATTTGAATGCATGCATCTGGAAAAGATAGTTGGCATAAATAACAAAGGTTATTTTTAACTCTCATAAGCATTGGATATAAATGCTTATTTATATAACATTACAGATCTAAATTTTTGTCTTTCTTAAATCTAATGATGATTTTGATTTGCTCTTTGTATAAAGTTGTATTATACTGAAATAAAATGAAATATGTATTTTTGAGATTTCAAGAAAAATAAATCCGATTTCTTATGAGAAAGCTAGAATCATTTTGAAAAACTGAAGACTGTACTTAAAAACCTGAACTATCTCACACAAACCAAATATATAATTAATATCTAAACAAAAGTCAAAGAAGAAGAAATAACATGCTTTAGTAAAAGAAGGCACTTACTGGGAAATCTCTGAGTAGCCATCTGCCTCAGAGAATAAAAGATATCACACATTAGAGTGGGGCAGCTCATACTTGATTTTACAATTGTATTGAATAACTTGTCTACGTAGTAGCGCAGATTTTCCTGCAGGATTTAAAAAGGTAAAACATTAAGATTTTGATGTTCACACATCTTTAATAGCCTTCAGAAAGAAAAATGTAATGAAGATGAGATTTATTAGATAGTCACTACCTAATACTTTTTAAAGCATTGTTTCCTTTTCCAAACTCATTCAGTTAAAGAACAATGTGTATACTGACTCAATAAATTAAATTTAGATTTGCTAGGCATAAGAGGTGAATCTATGAATAAACCTCACAAGAAGCAACAGGGAATAAAATGATCCAAAAGGAAAAAAAAAAACAAAACCTCAGATACACAAGCACAAAGACACTGTTGACACTATTATCCACTGCAATAAAAATTTGTGACCCTAACACGGTCACTGTTTTTTCAGAGGCCACTGAAACTACTGATCAAGTCATTATGTCACTTAGGCTGATCAGTTTGAGCCCAAAGGAATGGCCAGAATAGGGGCTGCAACTGTAGCTATAACTTCCATTCACTATTGTTACTAAAGAGACAAGAACAAAAATAAAGTGAAACTACTGAGGAAATAACATTCTAAGAACTAATCCTAGGAAATGCTGCTAATAATACAGGCTTATGTAAAGAATAAACAGCATTGCTTCCCCGCATATGGCTTTATTTTAACGTAAGTGGGAGAAGTGTATACCATTAAGACCAATTTTAATGCAATATAAATATTAACATAGCAAGGACTTACCTTATTATTTTCTACATTATCTCCCTCTTTCAATTTAATAGGATCGATTTCACAGGATTTTGAGGAGTCACATATCTGAAAAATAATTTTTTCAGTTAATTCTCTTTTCTAAGTAACCTGACAAAATGAAAAGAACTACTATTTTTCTGATAATAAAAGTTAATTATAGAAATTTAAGTTGTAACAAAGTGTAAAACCCCCTATCCAGGGATAACATATACAATTTTCTAAAATGCTATATCAAAAAGTATTTGTCATATATTTGAAACTCTAGCTAAAATAGAAATCCGATAACAAAGAAATGTTTTTATACCATACAATACCCTTTAGGTAAAAATCCATTGACAGAGAAGTAAATAATGTGCTTCTAAAGTGTTCAGCCTCATTTTTTCAGTAACACATGAATGAATGAATCCTTCCCATGAATACATCACTTGATAAAACAGCCACTATCATAAGGCCACAGACTTATTGTTGGAAATAAATTCTGTACCTCATCTAGAATAGGTTTTAATGTTACTTTCAGGTAGTGCCCTCCCACTATTTTCATCATCTCATCCAGACATCGGGTAGCCAAGGAATTTCCTCTAAAAATTGTGTTTGCGTCTCTGAAATAGAAAGAGATGAAACCAAGTGTAGTAAACAAAGGTTGTGAAACCAATAACATAACATACTTGACGAATTTAAGAAAGAAGCATTTAGTTGAAATAGGTAAGACATACTAGAAGGCATAATTTTAATAATTTTTACCTATAATTTTAATAATTTTTACCATTTATTTAAAAACTTGCTGCCATTAGGTTTTTCAAAGTTAACAAAAATGTATTAAAATAATGGTCAGGTGTGCTGGCTTATGCCTGTAATCCAGCACTTTGGGGGTACAAATCAAGTGGATCACTTGTGGAAGTCAGGAGTTTGAGACTAGCCTGGCCAACATGGTAAAACCCCATTTCTACTAAAAATACAAAAATGAGCTGGGCGTGGTGGCGAGTGCCTGTAATCCCAACCACTCAGGAGGCTGAGGCAGGAGAATCTCTTGAACCCAGGAGGCAGAGGCTTCAGTGAGCTAAGATCACACTACTGTACTCCAGCCTGGGCGAAAGACTGAGACTCCATTTTAAAAACAAACAAACAAAAAACCCAATACACACACACACACACGCACACACACACACACTTTTTTTTTAAAAAAAGGCAAATCATATTTATGAACCACAAATGTGGAGTACATGCATGTCTGTGTGTGTGTAAAAAAAAAAAAACAACCATGTTAGACTCTGATGTGAACAAGAAGTCACTTGATTGCTTTTTAGAATCTCATATATATGCATATAAGGGTGATACATAACAAATAAAGAAAAAAACCACTTCTGCTCTGGTGTTTTTACTTGTGACACATGAATCATTACACTAAGAAACAGATTAGTAACAAAGTTTCCTCCTGAGTTAAAAAAAAATCCTTCATTAATTTTCCTTAGGTAGGTGAATATCGTTTAATAGCTTAACTGCCTTTTATTTGCTAAGTACTTCTTTTCAGCTTACTCTACAGTAAGGCTGATCAATACAAAAAAACTCACACTACCAAAACAATCTGTCAAACTAAGGTCCAATTTCAAGAACATGTAATTAACATTTAATAAACTATAACTCTTACTGTGTATCCTTCAAGTCTAATTCAGCCACAGCAGTGGCAAAAGGAACAAGTTTATCATGGTGCAGCAGCAGTCGTACAAGGGGCAAAACAGCATCATTTTTATCTCGACATATTTCACTCAAAATGTAAGCAGCTGAGGCAGATATTGGCTAAATATGGGAAGGTAGAAAACAAGCACAAAAATCAAAGAAACATTATTAACTATTCAGTCACTAGCCTGTAAAAGTATCTGAAATAATGAGACTAAAGCTGTTGTACAGGGTAATTTTCTAAATTTTTTTATCAGAGATGACTGTTGGAGCATACATTGGAATCACAGTACTCTGGTTCAGATAAATAGAAACGTATGTGTGTGTGTATATATATATATATATATATATATATATATACACACAGTAAAAATTATATATATATAATTTTTACTGTTTTAATAAAACTTGATATTCTGAAATCTTTTCCTTATCATTTATAGAATTATTTTAGCCATTTTGTGTTAAATCATATCCTTAAGATTCTTAACATACTTGAACATCTGGTGATTTTAGCAGCAAAGTTTTCAAAGGACCATAGTACTCTGAAGGAAGCACGCAGTCTTCTGTATAACATATATTTAATCGAAGAGACCCCAGGTCATCAGTTTTGGATGACTTGTTTCCATTGTCTCTTGGTTGTAGCAAGTACCTAAAGTAAAAAATATAAGTGATTCCATATGATGGAAATGCATTCAAGCCAATGAGGCAAGTTGAGTTAAGCTATTAAAAAAACTAAACCAAAAAAGTCAACTTAGTATTTATGGTTAGGAAACTTCATAAGTAGCAGGCTACTAATCTTCAGAGGCCTAATATTGGTTATATATTGGATTAGAAAGCTATCAGTACATTTTTATTCAGGAAACAAAAAGCATACATAATGCAAAAATTAAAATCTCAAATGAGTTGAGTAAGTTTGATTAGCTTGCAGGTTTAGAAAAAAATAATAAAAGGTAAAACATTTAAAATCCAATGTATTATCAAAAATACATTCTTACCAACTAAATTTAAGAAAGAAGTATTTAGTTGAAGATAGAAAAAACAGTCCAGATTCAGTGGCTCACGGCTGTAATCCCAGCACTTGGGAGGCTGAGGTAAGCTGATCACTTGGGGTCAGGAGTTTGAGACCAGCCTGGCCAACATGGCGAAACCCTGTCTCTACCAAAAATACAAAAATTAGCCGGGCAAGGTGGCAGGTGCCTGTAATCCAGCTACTTGGGAGGCTGAGGAAGGAGAATCACTTGAACCCAGGAGGCGGAGGTTGTGGTGAGCCAAGATCTTGCTACTGCACTCCAGTCTGGGCCAGTCTGGGCCAGTCTGGGTGACAGAGTGAGACTGTCTCAAAAAGAACTAAAAGAAAAAAAAAAAAAAAAAAAAGGTACGATCTATCATAATGCATAAGTAATCTTGTTTTAAAGTAAATTCTTTATCCAAAAATTTAAACTTGAGAAGTTTGCAGGACCAAAACCAGAAATCTAAGTTAAAAAAAACAAAAAACAAAAAACTTTTTATCATGGGAATTTTTTTTTTTTTTGAGACGGAGTTTCGCTCTTGTTACCCAGGCTGGAGTGCAATGGCGCGATCTTGGCTCACCGCAACCTCCGCCTCCTGGGTTCAGGCAATTCTCCTGCCTCAGACTCCTGAGTAGCTGGGATTATAGGCACGCACCACCATGCCCAGCTAATTTTTTGTATTTTTAGTAGAGACGAGGTTTCACCATGTTGACCAGGTTGGTCTTGATCTCTCGACCTCGTGATCCACCCGCCTCGGCCTCCCAAAGTGCTGGGATTACAGGCTTGAGCCACCGCGCCCGGCCTATCATGGGAATTTAAAAACACAAAACAAAAGAGAAGAGAATATTGAGCTTTCACATACCCATTACCTAGCTTAAACAATTATCAGCTGAAGACTAATCTTGTTTACAGTCATAAAAATAACAAAATCAGCTGGGTGTTGTGGCTCATGCCTATAATCCCAGCACTTTGGGAGGCTGAGGTGGGTGGATCACGAGGACAAGAGATTGAGACCATTATGGCCAACATGGTGAAACCCCGTCTCTACTAAAAATACAAAAATTAGCTGTGCATGGTGGCATGCACCTGCAGTCCCAGCTATTTGGGAGGCTGAGGCAAGAGAATCGCTTGAACCTGGGAGGAAGAGGTTAGCAGGCGTCCCCAAACTATCGACCGCAGGCTGCATGCAGCCCCCTGAGGCCATTTATCCGGCCCCCCGTCGCACTTCAGGAAGGGGCACCTCTTTCATTGGTGGTCAGTGATCGGAGCACAGTATGTGGCGGCCCTCCAACGGTCTGAGGGACAGTGAACTGGATCCCTGTGTAAAAAGTTTGGGAATGCCTGGGTTACAGTGAGCTGAGATTGCACTACTGTGCTCCTGCCTGGTGACAGAGCAAGACTCAGTCTCAAAAAAAAAACCACAAATAAATAAAAGAACAAAATCATGTCCTTTGTGCAAACATGGATGCAGCTGGAGGCTATTACCCTATGTGAATTAATGCAGAAAAAGAAAACTAAATACTACATGTTCTCACTTGTAAGTGGGAGCGAAACACTGGGTATGTGTGAACACAAGGATGGGAACAATAGACACTGGGGGTTCCAAACGTGGGGAGGGAGACAGGAGAATGGAGTTGAAAAACTATCGGATACTTTGTTCACTACTTGGGTGAAAGGATAGTAAGCCTAAACCTCAGCATTATACAATATACCAATGCAACAAACCTGCACATGTACCCCTGAATCTAAAATTAAAAACAAAACTGGAAGAAGGCTGATAAAAATTGTGAAGTACCAATGACAATCAAGAATTCTTATTTCCTTTTTTTGGAGGATACTCAGCAATATGCTTGCCTAAATTTGAAATTTACGATTTGTTGTTAGTGTAAATATCTTTTTTTTCCCCTAGACTCTATCAGGTTTAGAGAAAGGCAATTTTTACTCTTATAGTAGCCTAAGTTTGCAAACACAATTGAACTCAACTAATTTGGACATTAAAAATTCAGAATTGCTGGGCGTTAGCCAAAATACATATTTTTAGGACTGGAAAAAAAAAGTTTGCTACTCATTCAAGATATCACAGGAGTTACAGGAGTTAAAAAATTGTTTAAACTCTTAAAAAATTATTTCTCTAAAATAATATGCCAATTACAAATAATTCATCCCCTTTATTCCATTAAAGCAAAATATCTAAAAACCTCTAGGGAAAAAAACTAACTGTATTCTTAGTCTTCAATAATTCATTGTTTTAAAAAGGTATGTCCTTGCACTGTATATAAAATAGTGAATCTTTGCTTCACTTAACTATAACCAGAAACTAAACTGCAGAAAAACTGTACTATATATGTCTTTTATGAGTATATTCTAAAACAAAATTATTTTAAAAGTTACCATATGCAGCCAGATGCTCAATAGTAATACTGATAACATCCTTATTTGGACACTGAAACTAGCATAATTTTTACGCTGCAGAAACTATCACAATTAGAATATATTAAGGGAATTTATTTATAAATATTTACCTGCATATATTTTTTTCCTGTGACGTATCATCATATTGCCCACAAAATGTATTTTCAGAAATAACCCCAAATTAAATTTACAAAATTGGACTTGCCAATTAACAAACACTGTAGGATAGACAAAAGCAACTCAATGGAGATTATTTTTGTAGCAAAGCCCAAGCTTCAAGAACCAAGAAAGAACCTGTGTGGACTGCCACTTATTATATTCATTACTGTTTGAACCAGAATCTTCTTTATTTAAAATTTAAAAATTCTTATTACATATAGACAAATAGGTAATAATGCGTACATATATAAACAATGTCATCAAATCAGTGTTTTTGTTTTTTTAAGGAACTTTTAAGTTTTTTTTCTTTTTTAACTTTGGTTTTCTCTTTTTTCTTATATTCAAAATATTATTATTCTGCACCTCCGCTTCTCTTAGGAACTTGTTAACTACCTATTATGGACCCTTCTCTATTTTCTTCAGGCTTATGTAATTTTATACAGATTTTTATAAATGTGTACATATATACACATTTATAAATGAGTTCTGAGCCTATTAGTCAGTTTACAAAAATGTTATATTCTACTTTCCTGCATCTTGTTTTTTTCACCTGTAAGCACTTAAGCGCTTTCTTACTTTTTGAGACAGAATCTTACTCTGTCACCCAGGCTGGAGTGTTGTGGCATGCTCTTGGCTCACTACAACCTCCACTTTCTGAGTTCAAGCAATTCTCCTGCCTCAGCCTCTCGAGTAGGTGGGATTACAAGCATGCACCACCACGCCCGGCTAATTTTTTTGTATTTTTAGTAGAGGTGAGGTCTCACCATATTGGTCAGGCTGGTCTTGAATTCCTGACCTTGTGATCTGCCTGCCTTGGCCTCCCAAAGTGATGAGATTACAGGCATGAGCCACCGTGCCCGGCCCACCTGCAAGCACTTTCTAGTTAACTCTTTGAGACTACATAATTGTACTGTTTTGTGAAGTGGCTTAATAGGCCATAAGTAACTTAAAAATAATTGTGTACAGAAAACAATAAACAACAAACATTAAAATTTTGAATGTAATTTTAACTCTCCTTACTAAGAGACTGGGGAAAATTATTTATTTGCTTCTAGGAAATTCTCTCTCTCAGTCCTCTGTTACCAAAGTTCTGCTAAAATGCTTTTGTAGATTTTCTTTGCCATTCTTCTCTCAGAATAATCTGACTGATACTTCTTTTATAATTTGCAGAAAATCCTCAACTACTGTTTCTACAATTTTTCAACGTTTCTACTACGCAAAGCAAATTTTACAGCACTGGTTACTTATACTGAGGAAGAGTTTGTCTTTCCATTTTCATCTTGCTACTGCTCTATTCTGTTCCTCTCTCACTCACTGCCTCTATGGTATATACTTGCTACAGTAAAGGGAGAGACTCACTCCTTTGGTATCATGTCACCATTGTGACACAAATTTCATTTTCTTATATTTTGTGAATATACATAAAATATATTAAGAATGCATTTTAGTTTGAAAAATACATTTAAAAAGTTTTAAAATATATTAAAATGCATTTTAAATACTGTCAACTTTATCTCCTATACTGTTTGAGAAATAAGTTATATATTTTATCTAGGATTGTAGACTGTTAGGACTGGTTTTTTTTATTTTTTTGAGATGGAGTTTCACTCTGTCACCCAGGCTGGAGTACAATGGCGTGGTCTTGGCTCACTACAACCTTGGCCTCCTGGGTTCAAGTGGTTCTCCCACCTCAGCCTCCCGAGTAGTTGGGACTACAAGCGCATGCCACCACACCTGGCTAATTTTCATATTTTTAGTAGAGACGGGGTTTCACTATGTTGGCCAGGCTGGTTTCAAACTCCTGACCTTGTGATCCACCTGCCTCGGCCTCCTAAAGTGCTGGGATTACAGGCATGAGCTACCATGCCCAGCCTGGAATTATTTATCTATACTCATAGTTTTCAAGTTTTATAAATCCTGAGCTGGGGCCTTTCTAAAGTTTGAAATTTCAAAGCCCAGTAGTAAAGAAATTCCCTAAAAATACTAAAAGGGATTCACAGGTGCAATATTTTTAAGCAGTTTAAATCATTTTAAGCATGGCTGTTTAAACTCACAATCTTATTTTCAG